AACACACTGGTAAGTACCGTGTGAGCACAGTGACAGAAGACCTAGGTGCTGGTCTTCCTCAGGTTCCATCTTTTCTCTCCTCTAACTAACCTCTTCTCTGAGCCATCTCGTCCGTAGCCAGCCTGGATGAGGCTCTCACATCTCCACTGCCATTCTAGACGGACGTCCTGAACTCTGTATGTCCAAGTACTCCCGAGGGTCTGAGACACCTCAAATTGAACAAATCCAGAAAAAAAATGTCAACTCCTAGTTCCCCACCACCAAATCATTTCCTATATGGGAGATGAAAGATACCAAGATCTATCTAGTCACCTATGCGGAGAGATATCCCTTAGATGGGCATCTCTGAAATATACTGTTTAAGTGCCCAGAATTTTAATTCCCATCAGTGCTTAAGTAGAATTTCCATTTTGGTTAATATTTTAACCAGTCTTGAGCCAAATTTTTAACTGCTGCATGTCATGATAAGGGCCTGCTGTTTTTCTGGAGTAGATGTAAAAAGAACATACCTCTCATTCCTTATGTATTTTTAGCTCCTTTATTCTTTAATATTCTGATGTAATTCAAAAGAAAACTATTTAAATCCTCTTTCCAAATTGATTCTAATCCTGAAAATTTCATAATTTGTTGGTTCAAAACATTAGGAGCAGCTTGAGAGTTTCTGACATTGTATTTCTGCTGAAAATTGCCCTCCCTTAGGAAGCCTGTAGCGATCAATTCCCCCCTCAGTACTCAGGTACTGTTCTCTAAGCGTCTCTGTGTATTATTTTGGTACTTAGTGGCACACAATTCCGTTCCTTCTATGCTGTTTCACTTATATTCTCTTCACCTTGATTTTAAGCCATTCCTTTCCAAAGTGTTTAAAAAGGCAGCTATGCACACAGGTGACTAATAGATAGTGAATGAACTATGTATAGAAAACATTGGCTTCCTTTTGCATCCTATACTAAATTGAAAGGGAAGAAAAAGATACCACATGATACAAACACCTTTGCCAAAAGTTTAACCCCAAATTTTCCTCGTGATGTCAGTCTATAAGCAGTAAGCGGTAAGCAGTACAATGAAAAGACCACTAGTTTATGAAGTAGGAGACAGGGCTATTCACCTACCAACCAACACTACCTAACTATGAAGCTTTAAATACTGAGTTAATCTTCCTGGACTGCAGATTTCCCGATCTATAAAAGTATGAAGTAAGAGTAAAAGCTCTCTAAAGATCTGAAAATTCTAAGAACCTGGAAAATAAAAGTTCTGCATCCTAAGCAAATGTGGAAGCAGGGAGAGAGAGTAGACTACAGTATTAATTTTCATTGCCCTGCGTTCAATTACCTGAAATAAGGCTTGTCGGGAGACATGGTGATCTGTAGCACCTCACTTGTCATATCCAATTCAGAAAATGCTTCACGGAGCCCCTCTGACTGCAGAATAATCTTATTGATAACATTGGTGCTGCAGAAATCAAAATCCAGAGTCTCCTCAGGCTCCTGAGTATTGATTTTACAGACTGTCACCACTCCTCCTTCTTCCAGAAATAGCATCAAAGGGTAACCATAACCTTGGTAACACATCCGAAGTGCAGTTAAAGTTCCTGCAGTGAAAATAAATCATATGTTGGGCTCAGCTTTATAATGCAGGTTCCGCTTCTCCTTAAATGATACATAAAACTCCTGAAGATTATTTTACTCTGCCCAATTTCTAGCACATATGTATGCATCTCTTTCTAAAAAGGGATCATATTTTCCCTGATGACAGTTACATGCAGACGATTCAAACAATAAAACTGGCAAAGAAAACAAAACATAACTCTTTGAAGTCATTTTCCAGCTTGCCAAAACACCTCAGAAATAGCTTACTGATTTTATATATGTACAATTTCCAGGATGGAGATTCTACATGGACCAATACTGCAAGTAACAGAATTACTGCAGAACAAGCTATGCTCTTTCTTAAAGGTGCAAGGTGTGGAACAGTGGACTACTTTGATATTGTCAGTATGATAATATCAGTGTATTCACTGTGATAAGGATCCTTCCAACCTTTCCTATTGGGAGATTTTATGTACATTTCCTCAAACTAGGAGAAAAAGAGAGGGTGGTTAATGGTGGTGTGGGTTTTAACACTACAAACCACTAGGGAGGAGGAGGAATAGGACTAGACATTCCAGCTCCTTTTCTCCTACTGGATGGAGAGCCACCATGAGGAATGAGGGAAAGCAGATGCTTTTATGAAAAACCAGCTAGGGAATGCTGCATTAGGAAAATGTATGATAACTGAATTTTCAGTACAAAATTAAAATATATTTTCTAAAGAACCACACTGAGCTTTCCCTAGCTAATCTCTAGATTCCTGTGAAATAAAATCATTCTTTGGGGGTTTCCTTGTAGTTTTATATCCATAGCAACTGAATTCACTACTCCTAAAAAAATGAAACATATATTTTGAACATTTCAGGAAATAGACAATTTACAAACAGGATTAAAGAAATAACAGCAAACACATTTTAAACACAGTAAACTAGGTGTGAGGAGAATTGGTTTCTCTTTTTCTTGGCCACTAAACTGTAATCCTGAACAGGTTAGAAAAAAAAAAAAAGCATTTAATACATATTTTGCAATGTTCAAGTTAATTAACACATATTCAAAGTCTTCTCTTGGTCAGTTCAAATTTAAAACCCCCGAACTTTGTAAATTAAAAAAAGATTACTATAAATACTTTTGCAAATAGGAAAAGAACTATAGTTTCTACTATACTTTCTATTAATGTGAAAAGTTAGAATCCATGATTGTGACCAGTGAGAAATGAATTTGCAATTTCCAAGATATGTTTCTTACTTCTAATAACCTTTCCTGTATTTTTCTGAGCATTTGCTTTTTGTCATTATGATAATAAAATGGTTCACCTGGCATAGGACTTGATCCGAAAATTGATAAACAGTCTAAAAGGACAGTTAAATTTATTCGAAAAGTAACAGACTCTTCCTGAACTATAAACTCTTGAAATATTCCAGCCTGTGAAGAAAAGTAAAAACGAAAATGCATATATATTAATGAAAACTCACAGACAAGGTTCTAGATTTCACTTTATTTGTTTTAAAAATAATATTGTGCTGACCCCATGAAAATAATTTCTGATTACCCATCAAAACATCTTCAGCTTTTTCAACTATTACCATTAGAATGCTACTACTCAGTAGTTAAAGGTGTAACTGACTTCAGTACCATGCAAAACTTTATGAAAGGTCTTTCACCTAGCTTCTTGATCTAAACTATTGCCCACAGGACTTTTCCTTGTCTCATCTTTTGCCCGTCAACAGTGTTAAAGTCATTTGAAAAATAGCCAAACAATTTGGGGCGCCTGGGTGGCTCAGTGGGTTAAAGCCTCTGCCTTCGGCTCAGGTCATGATCCCAGGGTCCTGGGATCGAGCCCCGCATCGGGCTCTCTGCTCAGAGGAGAGCCTGCTTCCACCTCTCTCTCTCTGCCTGCCTCTCAGCCTACTTGTGATCTCTGTCTGTCAAATAAATAAATAAATAAAATCTAAAAAAAAAAAAAATAGCCAAACAATTTGATAATGCATGAGTAATACTAGTTTTCAATTTCTTTTGAGGACAGGAACCATGTCTTATCTATCCCTCTATACCTGAGGTTACACTGTGCACTTTGGTGATCAAAAAAATGTTGGATTAGGGGCGACTGGGTGGCTCAGTTAATAGTGGCTGCCTTCAGCTCAGGTCATGATTCCAGGGTCCTGGGATTGAACGCCCCCATGGCATCTGTCTCCCAGCTTAGCAGGGAGCCTGCTTCTCCCTCTCCCTCTCCCTCTGCCTGTCACTCTCCTGCTTGTGTGCTCTCTTTCTATATATATCAAAAAATAAAATCTTAAAAAAAAATTTTGGATTAAATCTGAAATCCTATCTGAACCATACATATATTGCTTTGTAAGGACACATTATAACCAATAAAATGGAAATACTGGTCAAGAGCATATACTGGAAACAAATGTTTGGGTTCTTATCCCAACTCAGCCACTTGCCAACTGTGGGACTGTTGGCAAATCACTTAAAAGATGCCTATTTCCATACCTGAATGAAAGCATTTGCTTGCACACACTTTGCATTTTCCACTGTAACCTTGATTCCATTTTTAGTAGCGAAACACGTAGCATGCTCTCGGAAGTGAATAGCCTTCAAGATAGTGGAGAGATTCCTAACGTTGTCAAGGCTGGCCACTAAGCTGTAGTCATTCTCGTCTTGGATCTGTGGGGTTAGGAGGGGCATCGTCCACTGCACATTGGTCCCAAGGGAGGCTTCCCGAGCCAACACTTGCTGCCGAGGAACTCGAAACACCTGATGAGATTCGACAATAAAGCTCCGGTCAATGCGGGCAAGGCCCGCGATGTCAACCCTCGCTGAGGCGAGGCCTGGGCATCGAACTCCGCCGGTGGCACCCCATTTCTGCCTCTTCAACTCTCTGTAACTTTGGGGGAAAATTACTTTTCACTCTAAGCTACGATTTCCTCGCCTTCAGTGAGGGGCCAGTAACACAGAAAAAGTTGTGAACAATGAGAACAGGTAACTAACGAGGTAGTTCTACTGGGGGGCGGTCCCCCCAAACTTGGATTACGTGTCCCCGTAGAATCGGTTTTGAGCTGTCCAGCACCCCCAACCTTGCCCCTGACAGAACAGGCGACGGAGGGCGGGCCGCCATTCTTCGGGAGATCCTGAAGTCCCACACAACCCCGTTCCCCAGCCCGTCAAGAGACGGCATCTATTTCCTGACCCCGGGAACCGGGCACGGAAACCTTACCTTTCCAGCGGGATCCGGACGCCCGAGAGCCCTTCGCAGCCAGGTCACCGAAGAAGCCTGCCGCGCCTCTCAGGTAGCTGGGGAGAAAATGCAGCGGCTCCCGCCACTCTTTTCAGACCACAGAGGCACCTCGGCCACCGTCACCACAGAGATAGAGGCCGCCTAGAGAGCCGCGCATGCGCCATCAGAAACCGGAAAAAGGTACCATCGAGCCGGGGGACTGCGGAGCCGAGCGCTCTGTACCATAGAGATCGGAAAGGGGAGCGAGCGGCAGAGCGGGAAGGAAAGCCAAGACCTGAGAAGTTCAGGCAAGATGGCGGCGACCAAGAGGAAGCGGCGTGGAGGCTTCGCGGTTCAGGCGAAAAAACCAAAAAGGAATGAAAAAGATGCCAAGCAGCCAGCTAAGCTGCGCGACATGACAGAAGAGGCGGAAGAAGAAGAGAGAGACCGTATCCCAGGCCCCGTTTGCAAGGTAGAGCTTACATCCAGGTTACACCTGCGGCTCTACACGCTTCCCTGGGGCTACCTCCCTGATAAGAGCTTTGGTAATTTCGGAGTAGCCTGTTACCGGAGCTCGGTTTCAGCTCTCGTCCGGGACAGACAGGCTGCCGCGCTTACAGCTAGCTCTCATGCACGTGGCCGTCTTCTGGAGGCAGCGGCCGAGGAAGCTGGCTGGCTTCGGAACGGTTCACAGGGAAGCAACCTTTGGGGTATTCAGTCCCAGTGTTGTGTCTTCTGATTACTCCATTTCCCCCATTTGGGGTGGTATTACTTTTCCTTAAAGTTAGTTCTCGCTATTGAGTATATATCTTCCAATGGCTACTATCCTCCTATTCCGCCATAGTTAGCTTCTGTCAGTCTGGGATCCTGAAGCTTGTTAGGCGGTCCTTTTTAAAAAATTGCTGCCCTTGGGATAATGGCTTTGACTTGTCTGATCAGGTTTTAACTCTTAAGGGTTGATGAAAGCTAGACGAGGTAGAATGAACTTCTCTTGTATTCAAATATTTTTATGTATGTCAGGTACTGTCCGAAGTTAGGTTTCCTCTGGCTTTGGGATTCTAAACTAGAATAGGACCTTCTTTCTGAAGTGTTGGGAGTTTAGAAGAAAACTTAAGAACGCATGTAAGTTCATGGTTTGTATTCAGAAGAAGGTGAACACAAGTTGTTGGGCCTAACTTCCATTCCGTAAGCTAGATCCAGTACTTTGGAGACAGAGGTGGTCTTTGATTTATTTCTGTTTTGATTCTATTTCTACTTACCTGGCCCTTAGTATAGTATTCTAGCAGGTAGTAGGTGATAAATGACCATCTGTGGTGGAAGGCACTAGGAAAGGAGTTAGCTCTGAGGGATGAAAAATGAGTTTAATTTAAATTATAGGTCTACTGATAGTTAATGTCCATGTTTTGAGCTCTTTTGTCATCTGCAAATTAAGAGGAAGAAAATGTGCTTTACTTTTTGGGAAGAATAAGCTGGACTGCTAGAGGATTTTCAGTAGATGTTAGTGCTCCCACTCTTCCCTTAACCTGGAAGGAAAAACAATAGTATCTATGACCTGAGTCATTGTATGAAAAATTCTCTGGAAGTACAGAAGATAGAAATTACTTTTACCCTTGGACAGTCATGTAAGGGATCATGAAGGATTTATTCCTTGAGTGGATTTCAAAGTAGGGGCACATTTCCAGTATTCAGTATTCAAAAATGAGAGGGAACAGTATGAGGGCAAAGAAGAAAAAGTGATCAAAGGCATTGATGTGGAGGAAAAATGCTGAAAATCTAAAAAATAGAGCCAAATTAGCTAAAAGGTAGGGTTAATTTAGGGTAATAGTGAGGTAGAAATAGAAATATATTTTAGAATCCAGTGTTAAAGCTATGTCATATTGGAGTTTGTTTAGAACATCCTGGTAGGTTAAGGATGTGATTGAAACAGTGCTTTAAAAAGACTAAGCTGGTGATAGTCCGCCAGACATATTGGAGAAACTCTTGTCCGGGAAGGCTAGCCATTTTAGGAGATTTAAGATAATAAGAATCTGAATGCAGGCACTGTGAATAGGAAGGCATTAAGAGAATTGAAAGAGAAATTGACAGCATTTAGTAGTGCTTGTGATATAGGAGAAACAGGCAAATAGATAATTCAAAGCCGGGGGGATGGAAATGATGGTTGCATCATTAGAAAAACAGGAAACTTACTATATTTAAGGTTTAGTATTCTAGAGTTGAATTTGAGGTATTAAGTCAAATACTTGGATTATTAGGAGTGGAGAGAGTTCCTTACCTTTCTATAGATTTGACAATTGAAGTTATGGAATGATTATGAGAACTCTGTTGTGAGAGACCTGAAACCAAAAGAGGACTAGGAAAGAGTTTTTCAAGTCAGGAGGAGGAATCGGAGAGGTGGAAGAAGAAAAACCAAAAATGAAGAAAGTCAAGGAAAGTATTTCTGGGAGGGAGCCGTGGTCAGTAAATAGCACTGAGAGATTGTCAGAATTGTTTAGCCTGTTACCTGGAAGTTTTTAATGAATATTATTGTGTCTCTACTTACCTTACATACAAGGAGTTAACTTTTCCATTGGCTGTGTTATTTTATCAGAACCAGGGGCTATCTTTAGCTTGTTTTTTAGATAGGGGATCTAAATTTTGAATATTAAGATAAAATGGGGACTTTTCAAGTTTCCTTTTTTGCATCATCACATGTTGCCATGATGCTTTACCATTTCTATCCTGTCCTATATGACAGATATGTTGTGTTATCTGTCATGTAGAATAGAAATGGCAAAGCATCTCAGTAAGGGTTTTATTCGGTTCTTGCCTTTGTGTCTTTATTGATTTGCTTGCTTGTTAACTATCTTCCCACATAAGAACAGTGGCTGACTTCTGGTAGGAACCTAGTAAATATTAAATTAATATTAAAGTTTTCTTGTGAAAGGAATATTGACTGAGGAGTTCTGGGTTCAGGCATGGAAGGATTCTATGTATAGTGAAACATCTCAGTTCTCTGAATTGCACACATGAGAGAGAGGCAGAATTAAGGATGTAGTCTTGATACATTAGAGGGTAATGGAGTATTTAACGACTAGATACTTCTAAAACTATCTTTAAAAAAAAACAAGGTATGAGTATGAGATTTAAAAATCTTAACATTTTCTTTTTCTTTAGGGCAAGTGGAAAAATAAGGAACGGATTCTTATCTTCTCTTCTAGAGGAATAAATTTCAGAACGAGACATTTAATGCAAGACTTGAGAATGTTGATGCCTCATTCTAAAGCAGGTGCCTTTATATCATACACTTTTCAAGTTCTTATTTATAAACTTGTCTCTATATTCTCACTTTAAGTCATTGTTTAACCTTGTCACTTGTTCAGCCTTATCAGGTAAAGAACTCTTTTGCCTCAGAACAGTGACAAGATTTTTTCAATTAATATTTTGTTAGAAATACTTTATTCACTAAACATTCCCTTCACTTTCTTAGATATCCTACTGTTATCAAAACATTTCTTGAAGGTCCAGGAATGCCTTAATTGTAATGTTCTCAGAGGTCATGAGCTGGTTGTTCTTCTAAATAATTGAGGACTTTGTGTATCTGCATTTTCTTTTTTTTTTTTTTTAAGTTGGCTACATGCCCAGCGTGGAGTCCAGTGCAGGGCTTGAACTCAAAGCCCCAAGATCAAAACCTGAGCTGAGATTGAGTGTCAGATGCTTAACCACTGAGCCACCCAGGCACCCCACTATCTGGCATTAAAAACAAAACAAACAGAAAACGTGTTCATATTAAAAGTTAATGGGCTGGAGTGGGATTTCAAGCACCTTTAATTTGGGGCTCAACCTACGTCTAAATGCCAAGATATTCTCTTTAGCAATGGTGTATCTTGCAGGCAAGTGAAGTTTCAAGTTTAGAACTGTGGCAGTACCATCACACAGCTGTTTTTGTGCCTGTGTTGGGAGGAGCTTTTGGCTTTCATTTTAGGTTATAGCTTTGTTCCTTAGACCACTGTTTCTCAAACTGGGGTCTGCTCTTATATCTTTATATCTCTGAAACTCAGAAGAGATTTAATTTATATTGTTGCTTTTTTTCCCCTGTGATAATCTGAAACAGTCTTTTCAATCCACTTCCTTCAGTTCAAATTTTAGTTTCTTCAGTGAGTGTTCCTTAAACTGCAATCCTAGAACATAGCTCAGTTTGTGAAAATGTTTCCATATTTGAAAGGGACCTACACAATATGTAAAGTTGACGAGAAACACTGCTTAGATCATACTTTATGATTCTCGAGAACTATTTTCTAGTCATTTTTATAAAAAATGAACAAGATTTTTAAAGAGGTCATGTGTTTTTAGGTCTAATAATTTTGAAAATTAATTAAATCTCTTTTAAACTGAAGATTGTGAAAACATTTAAAATACTTTTTTAGAAAGCATGTGTGATATGTTTGAAGTAGCTTTGAAATCTTTTATTTACTTTCTTTTTTTCTTTTTATAGATACAAAAATGGATCGTAAAGACAAGTTATTTGTCATTAATGAGGTAATTTTAGATAGTAATTCAAGTAAAATATTCTAGGAACACTAGGAATAAAATATTTTGGAATACTAAAGATTGTTCATTTAAACAATAAGTCAGTTATTCAGTGACTTTTAAATTGTTTTGTAAAAGATAACTCAAATTTTTCCTGACTCCAGTAATCTGCCTTATAAATTTTTATATACTCTCTATATCTTACAGTTTGAATACTCACAGTTTATATACTGTCTGTATCTCACTATCTGAATCTCACAGTGATTCAAAATATGTTATTTCTTGATCATTCTTGTATTTGTCTTATCTCACCAAACATTGAAATTTCTGGAAGACAAGCATTATATCTTTTTTTCTCATTTTATACAATACAGTGCTAAATTTATAATGGGTACCTACTATTTTTTTCAAAGATTTTTTTTATTTGACAGAGAGAGCACAAGTAGGCAGAGAGGCAGGAGGGGCGGGGGAAGCAGGCTCCCTTCTGAGTAGAGAGCCTTATGCGGGGCTCTATCCCCGGACCCTGAGATCATGACTTGAGCTGAAGGCAGAGGCTTAACCCACTAAGCCACCCAGGCACCCCTATAATGGGTACTTATTAAAAACTATCAACTTGTACAAAATAAAAAGTTCATTAAATATTTTTAAAACCACACATTTTAGAAAGTATTTTGTCAGTATTAAAGGTGATACACGTGGTAATTGCTCTTAAGATACTACAAATTATTAATAGGTTAATTTTCAAAGTGTTGTTGAAGATACTAAACTTACATTTTAAAGCTAACTTTTAAAACTTTAGAGGAATTGTGTTTTAAGATCATTTTCCTTAGTGATTAGTAAGGCTTCTTTTATTCATTTAGCATGGATTTTTGAACTTCTGTTGTAAATGGCCTTATTCTACTGCTGTGGAAACTGTTTAACAGAATAATGCCCCCTTTCATCCAGTGGAGCTTACATACTAATGGGGGATTCAGTCCATGAACAAGTATAATTTCAAGTGAAGATAGGTGAAAAAAAGTTATGAGTTTCTAGCAGTTGAAGCTTGACTAGAAAACAACCAACTTAGTGTTGTTGTTTGTTCTAAGACCAATAAGAAACAAAAACATTGGACCTAAGAGTTTTCAAAGCTGTTAGGTTTAAAGTCTCAAGTAGTTGAGGTTGATGCGTACTATATTAGGTAGTTCATGAATGTTATAATAGTATAAGCCTTCAAGATGTTGAAGTTTAATTCAACTTGAAATATGTTTTCTATACTTCTGCCTTTCACCAATCCCTTAGTGCTTTTACAGAATGGAAATCACAGAAATGGTAGTACAGATTAGGAAGAAAAATCTTAAATTTCTTGAGCTTAAAATCAAAATGCTAAAGAGTTAAAAATAAAAATAATCATTATAATGGATGTAGTTGGCTCTTGAAGGACTGTAATTTCCTAAGCTTGATAAGGCTAATTTTAGTGTGCCTTACCCCTCGGGTATCTTTTTTTGCTCTTTGTGGATTGTATGGGGGAGTATGGTTGAAGATAGAGGCTCCCAGTAAGCAGAAGAGAGACCAGACTATCTAGTTTACTTTAGAATACCTAAGGGAAATTTTAAATGTTTCTTTTTGTGAATTTACCTAGATTTAGACCTTTGTGGCCTATTAACCTGCTTAAGTATTTTTGGAGGAATATAGATATTAATTGCTTTGGTTCTCATTTTTACTGTCTACTTCATTTTTCCATACTTTGCTCTGTTTAGGTTTGTGAAATGAAAAACTGCAATAAATGTATCTATTTTGAAGCTAAGAAAAAACAGGATCTCTATATGTGGTAAGATAATGTGTTAAGGAAGATTTAGGTGGAACTGTTCTTGTAAATGGACTTACTCTTTAAATCTCTTAGGGTATAGACTCCTTTTAGTCTTTTACATAAAAAGAAGGGGCCAGGGGATGAAGCAAATTCATTTGATTTCATAAAAGTTGAAACCTTTAAAGAAAGTTAAATGTGTGGATGTTACAAACATGGTATGGTGTCTTTTAAACTGAGGTAGTAGGAATTTACTACATTCTAAATTCTAATTAGTTGAAAAATTTCATATTTTTCAGGCTTTCAAATTCACCTCATGGGCCATCTGCTAAATTCCTCGTTCAAAACAGTAAGTTGACTCAGTTTAAGATTTTTTTTAATGACAAAATTGAAAATGCTCTTTTGGGACAATTGTGCTAAAGTTATAACTATTTTTATTGGTATATTTTTTTCTAGTCCATACCCTAGCTGAACTAAAGTTGACCGGAAACTGTTTGAAAGGTTCTCGGCCCCTTTTGTCTTTTGACCCTGTAAGTTTCTCATTAGTGTATGAGGTCTAATTTTCTTATTCTGCGTGGCTGTTTTTTAGTGAATGTGGTTTGTAATTCAATTTATCAAAAAATCTACAATTTTAAACAAAACACTGCTGTTGTCAAATAATATGTTCACTTTATTTTTATAGGCTTTTGATGAATCACCACATTATACTTTGTTAAAAGAACTCTTAATTCAGGTAAATATCTTTTCTAGAAAGTATTTTCAGTAGTATAAATGTGTGTCTCCTTTGGACTTTTTGTTAATTTAGCTATCTAAAACATACATGATATGCGCTAGAATAAGACATTAACTTTTCTTTTTTCTTTTTTTTTTAAACTAGATCTTTAGTACACCACGATATCATCCCAAAAGCCAACCGTTTGTGGACCATGTATTTACTTTCACCATTTTGGATAATAGGATATGGTTTCGGAACTTTCAGGTTAGCTTTAATTGATTTTTAATTATACTTTGAAATGAAATGGGGTATATAGCATCTGTAAAAGACGCAAATAATAAGTCCTTTTGTTTTAAATAGTTCTTTGCCCCCACAGACTTGTAGCAGTTAACTGCTGTCTCATACTTTTCCTACTTCTCTACTTACTTTTTTCCAATGGCTATCAGTTGGTTTTGGAGTAAGGGTTTGCTAACAAGCAACTATATATTCAGTAAGATATAAATTTCTCTCTAAAAAGGTTGGAATCTGTAGGTGGAGGTTGTTAAGACGGAGAAGAACATGATCTCTGTAGAGTGCATTCAATGAGAATGAGACAAGTCATACAGTGACTCGTTTAGGAGGAGAGGTGATTCTGGAAATCTTGAAGCAGGAGTTTGGCAGGATAAGAAATCAGAAAGGTAGAGAGGTGTGCTCGCTTCAGCAGCACATATACTAAAAAAAGAAAGGTAGAGAGGTGGAAGGAACAGCTTGTGAAGTAATCTGGGCTCTTTCCTGCATGTGTTATGTTGGATACCCTGCAGTGTGACTTAAACATAGCCCCGTAGCCTCTGAGGGCAGACATACCTGAACCAACAGTGTTGTGTTTGTATTTGTAGTTCAGAAGTTGCCTCTTAATTCCACAATCAGAAGCCATTCAAAAGTAAATTTGGCCATATATCCCTTTATATACCCTTTAATCTAATTTGAATTAGACATATAAATACAATTTGGGGGGGGCGCCTGGGTGACTCAGTCCTTAAGCATCTGCCTTTGGCTCAAGTCACTGATCCCAGGGTCCTGGGATCAAGCCCCACATCAGGCTCTCTGCTTCTGGGAAAGCCTGTTTCTTCCTCTCCCACTCCCTCTGCTTGTATTCCCTTTCTCTCTGTGTCTCTATCAAATAAATAAATAAAATCTTTAAAATAAATAAATACATACATACAATTTAGGAATTGACTTACATTTTAAAAGGGTTATCCATAGGGTGCTTTAATACATTTGTTACAGTTTTTTTTTTTTTAAAGATTTTATTTATTTATTTGACAGAGAGAGATCACAAGTAGGCAGAGAGGCAGGCAGAGAGAGAGGAGGAAGCAGGCTCCCTGCTGAGCAGAGAGCCCGATGCGGGGCTCGATCCCAGGACCCTGGGATCATGACCTGAGCCGAAGGCAGAGGCTTTAACCCACTGAGCCACCCAGGCACCCCACATTTGTTACAGTTTTAAAAACTCATTTAACCACAGTTTTTCAAGAATACGTGTGCTGTGAGAAGCAAGATAAGGAACAAGATGAAATTACTAAATTTTGAGAGAACACCCTGGAAAAAGTTAGTATTTTCTTGTGACAACTACCTGTAACTAGTAACATATTTCAGAAAATACTGAGAATTTGGCACTTGCCAGTTTCACTTCCCCCTTAATTTAATTGGTTCTAACTTCTTTTAGGCATATTTGTAATAAGGTTATAGCCAGTGTAACTTTGAAGAATAGTATATCCAAACTAAAATGTTTCCTTTTTATTAAAGATAATAGAAGAAGATGCTGCTCTTGTAGAAATAGGACCTCGCTTTGTCTTAAATCTCATAAAGATTTTCCAGGGAAGTTTTGGAGGACCAACTTTATATGAAAATCCTCACTACCAGTCACCAAACATGGTAAGCTAATTGTATTGTTCAGTGGTCCCTTGACGCCCAGAACTTGCTGGCCAAAGTGATTCTGTCAAGTGATTTCTGTTAACTGTGAAACTAATTTTTTTTTTTTTTTTGGCTGCATACTGTCTTGCAAATTACTACTTTTTTTTAATGACAAGAGTGAAGGGAAAATAGGGCTCACAAGTGAATGTCCATATGTAGTATGTTTTTATTTTGAAAGCATCTGATATTTTGTTGTCTTTAGCATCGGCGTATTGTAAGAACCATCACAGCTGCAAAATACAAAGAGAAACAACAAGTGAAGGATGCGCAGAAAATGAAAAAGAAAGAACCAAAGACTATTCTTCCACATGATCCCACTGCAGATGTTTTTGTTACACCAGCCGAGGAAAAGCCAATAGAAATACAGTGGGTAAAGCCAGAGCCCAAAGTCGATTTGAAAGCAAGAAAGAAAAGAATTTATAAAAGGCAAAGAAAAATGAAACAGAAGATGAACAGTGGGAATGCAAAATGAATCAGTGGATAACTAACTTTTCAGTAATTTTATATTTATTTTGTATTCAATGTGTAAATACATTTTATTATCCAGGACTACCTTGTATCTTACTAGTGTGGCAATTTAGACAAAGAGATATCAAATTAAAATTTGTGGCTTCAGTGGTGTGTATGTTTTTCTAAATGTCACCAAAACTCATCAGTTCATTTCTGTTTTTCTTTTCAAAGCTTGTTTGGTATTACTGAAAATTCAGCACACTTCAGGTTTAGGCTTGCTTTCTTGGATTAAAATTTTGGGTTTAGCAAAGCTGAAATTCAAACAGATTTATTGGGTCATTATTACTTGTAAAACAATGAATTAGGTAGTTTCAGATGATAAAGTGCAGATAGATTGGTAGAAAAAGCATCTTACTGAGGTTGGAGTCCCTGAGTCCCAATGAATGAGGCCTTGGAAAAGCCAATCCTTGATCTTGATTTCTCACCTCAAGAAAGTACAATAGGATGCCTGGGTGGCTCAGTCGGTGAAGCGTCTGCCTTCAGCTCAGGTCATGATCCCAGGGTCCTGCGGTGGAGTCAGGCATCATTGGGCTCCCTGCCCAGCAGGGAGTCTGCTTTTCTCTATGCTGCCCCCTAGAGTAGGTGTGAGCTCTCCCTCTCTCACAAAAATAAATAAAATCTTCAAAAAAAAATTTACAATAAGTTTTAGGTTCTGAGAATCAAATGAGTTAATACGTGTTTGGAAGTATTTGTAGATTACAAATTTAATTTAGAAGCAGTGGGTATAAATGATAATTTACTAGTAAAAGGAAGAAAAGTGGAACAGTAGTTGGAGGGCACTGGAATATTTGAGTTGATATTTGATGAAAGAACTGAGGTGAAGAGCACAGGGCTTACCCTCCTAGAGGTCAGTTAGTAGGAAGGAAAGACAAGAGTCTTGGTGCTAGTGGCTGTGGACAGGTAGGTGGCCGCTGAAGAGACTGAGAGATGTGCACATATGTATCGTGTGTGGTGTTCTGTGACCCACTTATTTTTATATCCTATTAATCACTTCCCCATGTCTTTATTATACGTGACTAATAATTGCATAGTATTCTATTCTGCTATACTGTACTATCTGTCCCTTATGGGATATTACAGTATTTCAGGTATGGATGCTTATGCCAAACATTTCTTGACATAAATTATTTTGTACCACCTGTGGTTTCCTGTAAGTGGAACTCAAGTGAAAAGATGCCCCCCTGGGACGCCTGGGTGGCCCAGTTGGTTAAGCAGCTGCCTTCGGCTCAGGTCATGATCCCAGCGTCCTGGGATCGAGTCCCACATCGGGCTCCTTGCTCTGCAGGGAGCCTGCTTCTCCCTCTGCCTCTGCCTGCCATTCTGTCTGCCTGTGCTCGCTCGCTCTCCCTCTCTCTCTCTGATAAATAAATAAAATCTTAAAAAAAAAAAAGATGCCCCCCTAAATACTGTACTTCACCAGAGGTCAGTGTTCATTTATTTACTTGTACCCTTGTATAGTGAAATAACTTTTGTCAGTTTGGTAGGTTAAGAAAAGAATACCCTTTTTTGGGTAGATACTGGTTTTTCTTTTGTGACTAATTGTTTTTGTGTGGTAGTTATCTTTTACTAATTTGTAAGAACTCTCCTATGGCAGGATTACTCTAGGTATCTTTCCTAGTTCCTCACTTGTATTTTAATTTTATTTTGAATCTGTAGGCAGAACAATCAATTTTCCATTATATTTCATTTTTTCTTAATTTCAAAGAAAGGTCTTGAATGTAAAATTAGGCCACTTTATTTTGAAATAGTCTAAATTAGGCTACTTATCTTGAAATCTATACTTATCTTGAAATCTATACTAATCTATACTATACTATACTCTGAATTCAGTTCAGAGGTTCACTTTAAATACTTGTGCATAGCTAGTGAAGGCCAATTTTGGTTAAGTGCAGGGGGAGAACAAGCTTATTTATTTAAGCAATTGAATACAGCTTGGGATGAAAAGAAGCTGTATTCAGGATTTGTATTTAAACACCCACATCCCAAGAAGTTAATTATAGGTTATAAAATCGACTGGCTCAACAAGTTGTTTGAATGAAGACTCAAACTTTTAAGATTTTCTGAGGTGTGTGTCTTAGAGTTTTAGTGGCATTTCTTTAACAATTTTGATGATCAGTTTCTACTTATTTTCCTGTCCCAAATTACTTCCCTTTCATGATCATTTATATGTGTACCTCATTTGAATGAGAATTCCTTTTTTTTTCAACTCATGTTCATTGAGAAGTCAACTTGTTCAATAAAGATAATCCTTTAAACTGAAATTTATATCTAGTGTAATTGTCTCTATATTTCTTTAACTGTTACAGGCAGAAACAATTTCCTCTTCTCTCAGGAGGAAAAATGCAAGTGACTCAGGTTGTAAGCAAAACCAGATGCAGTTGGAGGAAGAAAAATTCTATTGTTCGTCACTTTTTATCCCCCTACCCCTAATCCCATTTTCAATGGGGCAAGTTTCCATTTTCACCTTTATTCAAACTATCAGCCCCTATCCATTGTCAATTTACAAACTAAGATGGTGTATAGTATCTTCCTTCTCTGAAAAAGAGGCAGGTGTGTAAATTTCGAGTATGAGTTGGTTGAACAGTGGTGTGTGGAGAAACTTGATGAGGTTTGGGGTTGGTTTTGATTGTGCAGTGGGCAGGGTATTAGGGAAGCAAGGAACCACCTTGTACAATAAGATGTCAGCAATAGAGCCAACCCTTCTCTTTACACATGGTTGACAAAACCTACACCTAACAACTGACATATGTAAACATTCCACATTACAGTGAAATATATTGGTGTGTCTATTAAACCAATGTATTTTAAGGGCACCTAGGATACTATTTTGACACCTTATCAAATTGGAACAGTTGTACGGATCTCCCATGCTGTAAAAACAGTGTGTCGGTTCGATCAACAAAAACTGGTTAAATACTATTCCCTAACAGCATTCTTAACAATCTAGAAAATGCAGGCTTAGAAGCCAGAAAGTGTTAGTGGATGGGTCAACACAATTTTATTCATACTGGTGGTAAAACATTTGGTATGCTATTTTTAAATGTGTTGATGGTCTCAAATTTTCCACTTTAAGGCATCATATTTACTGTTACTTCATTGCCTATTAGAATGAGCAGTATTAGAGATCTCGATAAGTGGCAGCTGAAGAGAATTGAAGTTAAATCCTGCATTTGGTTCACCTGAATCCTGCCATTGATCAGTTGGGGAGGCCTGAGCAAAACACTCGACTACTTCGAGCCTGAGTCGCCTCACCCGGAAAAACGGGGGTCCACTGAGAAATCGTCTTCAGAAGACAAGATGCTTTCCGGAACCTTGTATCAGACTCCTATCAGCCATCCGGTGGCCAGCCCAGTTAGTGCTCCTTACACAGACCGGCTACTGTGCCCCTCACAATGACGCCCGCCGTGGCCCCGCCTCCCACCTGTCGGGGCCCTGCCTTCATCCCGCCGCGGCCCCGCCTCCCACCCACCGAGGCCCCGCCTCCATTCCGCCGCGGTCCCGCCTCCTACCCACCGAGGCCCCGCCTCCCTCCCGTGCAGCTTTTCCCGGAACCGAGCCCTCCCCCAGCCCATGCGAAGCCGCGGCCTCCGGCACCGCCCACTCCGCGCGCCCGCGTGCCGCAGCCGGCGCTGCCTGTCGCCGCCGCGCGCTTCCGCCACCCCGCGCCGCTGTCGCCGCCGCCGCGCTCGCTGGCTGGCCGGGTGTGGGCGCCGGACTCCCGCTGCCGAAGAGTACCAGCAGCGCCGCCGCCACCCTTTCGGCCCGGGCCCGGGCCCCGGCCCCGCCCCGGGCCCCGGCCCCAGCCCCTTGCCCGGCCGGGCGATGAAGTGTCACTACGAAGCGCTGGGGGTGCGGCGCGACGCCAGCGAGGAGGAGCTCAAGAAGGCCTATCGGAAGCTGGCCCTGAAATGGCACCCGGGTAACTACTCCGCAACCGTCGCAGCCCTTGCAAAAGCCGGGCCCCCGCCATCCTTCGCCCCCCTCTTCCCGGAATAACTCCGGGACCCTGGCCAGTCTCAACCGGCCCGCCCTGTGACTCGCCTCGCCCTGGGAACCACGTTCGGGTCCCCGGCCAGGTGCCCCTGCGCAGTGCTCTTCCCGCCGGGCGTCCTCCCCGCCCGTCGGAGGACGCATCGCTCACCCCAGGCTTCCCTTAGAGCCCCGGGCAGCCCGTCCCTTCCCAGACGTTCCCCCGGCCCACCCACCAACCCCGGCGCTACCCGCAGTGACACTTGATGGGGAGGACACATTCTAGCGACTTCAGCGGCTCCTCCCACCCCTAAGCAGACAGGAGCCGGAGCCGGAGTCGGAGACCTGGGCTCTCGAGTTTGGCCCTTGCTTGAGTTTCTGCCGCTCAGCTACCCTTAACTTCATCACGGAATCCCAACTACTCCAGTGTAATTTATGGCCCCTTATTGAAATTAAGACAAAGAAGCTAGTAAACTATCTTATATAGCTGTGCTCCCCCCCTTTCCCAGTAAGCTGTTGAAATACGGACACTACTCCACTTCAGATGTTTTGCAGATGGAGAGTTTTAATTGGGTGTCTTCCCTAGTGAAGTTTGTATGTATACTGAGAAGTATGCTTCCTTTGGATGTTTGATTTGGTCGTAGTTCAGGCCTTTTCTTGACTTCTGTGAAGTAATCTGATCTTTCAGACTGGGAAACTAAGGCTGTAGTTGAATATCAGCTTTTTGAGTTTGTAAGAGGTTTACATATTAGCACTAATCAATAAGGGTGTTTATAGAATCTCCAGTATGTGCAAGTCACCATAGTAAGATTCTGAAATGCTAAGACATCCCTTGGAAAACATGGTGTAAACCATGAAAAGTTAAATACAAGCGCAAACAAAATAGCACAACATATATAATTGGTAGTTGGATTAACAGAATAAGTAATAAATGCCCCAGGAAGCCAGGGGAGGGAGTTCTCACTATGTCATGAGAAGCAGTGAGGTTTCTCCTTAGCAGAGGATCCTAGATTTTTAGCTAGATCTTAGGGAAATGGAATTGGGAAAAGTGAGCTGAAGAGTAGAGGGAAGAGCATCATGGTGGACAAAAGGTGGTCCAGGGGACAGTTTGACTGATGGCAGTATTTATTGGAAATCTGAAAATATGGTTTGAGAGAAGAGCTGAAGGAAGGGCCTAGGACCCAAAGTCAAAAGGTAATGTCTGTAGTTGGTGGAACAAGAAATAAAGGTATGGGTTTGTTACTTAAAATGGTAATGATTACCAACAGAGGAACTAAACAAATATATATATTGGAAAGGAAGAAGTAAGGTAAACATTCGTCAGAAATTGAGTTAGGAATTAGAATGAAGTTAGGAATTTCTTGACTCTTCTGGCTGGAAAAGTGTGAGGAAGAGGATTAATGCTTGTGACCAAATGCATATATAATTTTGATGATAATATGAATATGTTTTTGAGTGTAGTTTTAAGATTAGATCGTAAAGGGTCTTGAATGTTAGGCTAAGGACTGTGAAATTTGTTTTTCCAATAAGAGAGGGTTGAAGCTGGTTTTATTAAGATGTCTTGAGGCGGTACTGTGAGGGTGGCTGAGTGCATTGAAGAGGGACGGGGACAGAAGTCAGGTAGTGTCCACTATGGCAAGGAAGGGCTCACACCACGCTGGGGGTTAGTGGGAGGGAAGGGCAAGGCCTGGTAGAAGAGATGCTGTGAAGGAGAAATGATCAGATTTGGGGATTAACTGGAAATCAGTGCAAAGAAGGAAGGAAGAAGTAGGCAAAAGTTACTAAAACATCAGTTAACTATTTTGAAACGAAACCGGTTAGAAACGAAGTGTTTTCTCTGAATGTCATCATAATCATAACATCCTAAATATCTTTTGTTTGAACATGCCTATACATTTAAAGGATACATACTTTCCAGGTGATACATGATTTTGATATATTTTGCTGTGCTGACTTGTTAATTTAAGTCTGTCAGTCAGCAAATGTTCAATTCAATCTCTGTAAGGTCCTGTGTTAGGTGTTTCTGAGGTTAACATTTGGGCTTTGCTTCAAAGAATAATTTGTACTTCAAGAAGAAAGCCTGTTCATTTTTCATTGTTAAAGGTATTTCTTTCTTTCTTTCTTTCTTTTTAATTGAGCAACTGAAAATAGTTTTCAGTAGGGTCAATGTTACTTCCTAGGGAGATCACCCCTCTTGAGGGGAAGACTTTTATTTGATGACTGCCAGGAGCACTTTACTGTGTGAATGAGGCAGGAATGGTCCTTGCTCTGCAGGCAGGTAGAGTCATCAGGGAGTCCCAGGGAAACAGGCTGTTTCAGTCTGGTGAGAGAACGGTGGTCTGAAGGCAAGTACAGGGTGGTCTGAAGGCTTATGAGCACACGTGCCTGACCTGGACTGGGTTTCTGTGTGGGTGGGACAGATGTGTATCCCTGAAGAAGTGACCTCTAAGGCGAGACTGAAAGCCAGAAAGCCGGGAGTACAGGGGGAGGAAGGCCAGACAAAGCATGGCAGAGTACAGGAAGGGCAAAGAAGGGGGGTATGGCCAGGTAAGCAGCAGCCAGGTCTTGGAGGTTGGGGTCAACTGGACGAGGTAGATTGATTTTAACCTAAGGGCAGTGGGAAGCAGGGGAAAAGGTAGGTTTGTGTTTGTCAGGTATGGAGAGAGTAGATTAGAGCAGGCAAGATTGGGAGGAGGGCGACCGGGAGGTCAGAGTACACTGAAGTCACCCATGGTGACCATAGGACCCAGGAATGGAAACTCTGAGCCAAGGGCTGGAATTCTCAGTAAGTTAAGGGGGAGTGGTTGAGTAATATGTGGACAGTGAGAAGGGGAAGAAGGTGGGGTTGGCCAGTGGTTTGAATCTGGATGGAATGCTAGTGTGCCCTTGGGGATGAGGAAAGGACCAGCAGCCAGGAGGATGCCCGCTCCAGCACCAGCCCTGCCACATGAGGGCTGTGACTGAGGGAGCCCAAGAAGGAAGTCCTGCAGGGAAGCGGTGTTCTCAGGGAGCCTGGTTTCAGTCGAGGCAGGACTTAAAAGGCTCAGTCCATGGAATTTTCCAGAAGGTAGTGTAAAAAAGTTTGGGAGGGAGTAGAAGAGTGTGTGAGTGAATGGAGAGAAAAGCACAGAGAGTAGTGTGAGAATGCCTCTTAAACTTTGATGACTGGCTTTGCAGTACCTGCAGCCTTTGGGTGTGGCTGATAATAAATGTGGGCTTTTTCTTTATTATTGCTTTTTAACTTACTGCATTTATGTGCTTAGATCTCAGTTTAACATTATAGTCAGCCAGTTCAGGTATATTTAAGTGAAATAAGCCATATGACAGACTGAAAAAAATCAGAAAGACGTGTTAGTAAGAGGCGAGATCTTATTTTCAGCTGGTACATTGATGGACTTTCTGTGTTTCAAAGCTTGTGCTTTCTCCAGACTTCTTTGGGGGAGGAAGGAAGGGTGTGGGAAGAAACAGGACAACGAAGTACAGAACTGATTAAAAGGTGAAGAAGAACCACCCACATACCTCCCCCAGTCACCTTTTTTGTTTTATGTGGGAAGATTTATTTGCTGGCGTTTTCTGCCATTCTGCTTTAATTGGGACTGTGCTGTTTTGTTTATGACAGAAAGTTTATGAATGGTTCGAGGAAGATGTAGAAATCATGAGTATTTTTGAATCGTGAAAGATACAGAAATCATGACTCTCACCTTGAAGGCGTATCTGGCTTTGTTCAGAGCTGCATGTGACAGGAAGGTGGCGACAGTAACTAAAGTGAATAGTTTTGTTTTTCATACTTAGCAAGAAATCCAGGGGACACCCGTCTTGGTAGCTCCAACTCTTGATGAAGCCCTCAAAGACCTGATCCATTGTCCTGATCCCGAGGCTTGAGTGCTTGCACCGAGTGTAAGCGATTAAGCCTCAGAGCTAAGAGTTTCTTGCTGTCCCATGTTGTGGTGCAGAGACAGGCAGGTGAGCCACCGTGTAGCAGTTCTCCCCAGCACCTCTCGGGTGGGCCCTCACTTACTGTTCAGGGCGGCCTTTGGCGGGCGGGGGGGGGGGGGGGGGGGGAGGGAGGGGTAGGGAGACTGAATGGTTGGCTCCTTGATTATTGGTGCCTGTCTTTGGCTGTATTTGAAGTAGAGGATTACGACATGCCATGAGAAATGGGAGTATTTAGTCCCGGGAGAAGGAGGACTCGGAGATAACCATTGGCCGTCTTCAGAGTGGCTGCACTGTGGAAGGGGATTTAAACCGGCATTAGATCGCTTGCCACTTACAGCTAGGCTGCGGGGGTGGACAGTTTTTTCCTTTCAAGTTAGAGTTACCATGATTCTAAAATAATATTGAAAGCTTTTTCTGTGAAAGCATCTCAGCAAAGAGGGGCTACGGCCAATGGCTGCACTTGGGAAAGTATTATCCATGATAGTGGTTCAGCAGAAAACTCCCTGAAGGACTGGACATCCCGCGTGATGGTACCTAGAAAGAGGAGGCAGGATGCCCTCGAGGGTCTTGTTCTAAGGCTGCAAAGTTATTCCTAGGAAGTATGTGTCTGGCCTATTTTTCCTCTGGCCTCTTAGAGGGCAAGTATTGAGTTGTAGCTTATAGAATTTTGGTGTGCTGCAGAGTGGTCCGAAAATGTTTCACTTTCTGAGTATATTATCTATTGCTACGCAACAAATTACCAAACGCTTAGGTCTGAAAACAATAAACACAGCAAACATCCGTTATATGGACTCAGTTTCTGAGGACAGAGTGTGGGGATGGCTTAGCTGGGTGGTTTTGGCTCAGGGTTTCTCGTGAGGTGGTATCCTCATTGGGAAAACCCGCTTTTCAATCTCCCTCCCATCGTATCAGGCCTTATTTCCTTGCTGGCTGTGGGCCAGAGGCCTCCGTTCTCCACGTGGGCCACCCGAGTGTCTTCTTGCTGTGGCAGCTGGCTACTCCCAGGGTGATCCAAGAGAGCGAGAGCCCGAGGTGGAAACTGCAGCCTTCTATAAACTAATCTCAGAAGTAACTTAGCGTGCCATCACCATTTTTGCTGCCTTGCTGTTGGCCACACAGACCAACCCTGGTGACCTGTGAGGAGGCTCCACAGGGTGTGAATGCCAGGAGGTGGAGAGCCTTGGGGGCCATCTTGGAAGCTGCCCGATGCTCTCTGAATTCATAGTTAAGAGAAAAATAATTAGTATATATTTTTAAAGCTTTACAAGATTGTGGGGTCTGTGTTGATAAGAAAGAAAAAACATAAAGACCGTACTAAATAATAACACTCCTTCCATGACTGATTTTACATATATATATTTTGCTTTTTCAAAAAATAAAATGTGTGCTACTCAGGGTTTTCCGTTTGTGGATACCCAGACTGAGTGCTCAGTGACGCACCAAGGCTTAGGGGAAAGCATACAGTTTCTTCTCAAGTAGATACTTCTCGCATATCCTTATTATCAACTCTCACTAGGACCACTTTGCTTTTTCCTGATTGTTTTTCTTTGTTTTGCGAACTCCTCTATTTATGGCATTTGTGACGGAAGAGGTCCCTTTTAGATTCTGTCCTCTACTTGTTTGATGACTGACTATCTGGAACTTTATCTTAACAGATAAAAATCTGGATAATGCCGCAGAAGCAGCTGAACAATTTAAATTAATCCAAGCAGCGTATGACGTGTTGAGTGACCCTCAGGAAAGAGCATGGTGAGCATCACGCTGCCCCTCCTATCTTAGTGTATTTTGTCGGGAAGAATTATCAATAGAAGATTTTAAAAAGTGGATGTTTGTCAAATGTTTCGGTGTGTTCTGAGGCATCTGTCCCCTATTCATTATAGAAAATGCAGTAGTAGAGTTGGAAGGAAGCTTAGAGGTGACTACTCCAATTATTTCATTTTAGAGGAGGTAGAATAAAGCTTGGCAATATTAGATAGATTGAACCTTGACCCTTGGGAAGTAACTTCTTATTAAACGGGATCTCTTTGGTGTATGACAAGTTTACTGGTGTTAGGAATGCTGACTTACCCTTAAAACAGTGTTTCAGAGCTAGAATTGCAGGATTTCCCCAAGAACTACTTTATATGAAGAAATGGAGTTAAGCTTCTATGTCTATGACAGATACTTTTAGGTATGATGACCTGATAATTTAATAGCATTTTCAGACAAAAAATTCTTTTTTAAAAAAAGATTTTATTTATTAGAGAGAGAGAGCATGAGCAGGGGACGGGGCAAAGCAAGAAGCCAACTCCCCACTGGGCAGAGAGCCCGATGAGGGGCTTGATTCTGGAACCCTGGTATCATGACCTGAGCCAAGGGCAGATGCTTAAAGGAGTAAGCCACCCAGTCACCCCCAGACAAAAATTTCTATGTTTAAATTTAAGTTCTCAGATTTTTTGGGAAGATTTTATTTATTTATTTGACTAAGAGAGATCACAGGTAGGCAGAGAAGCAGGCAGAGAGAGGGGGAGAAGCAGGCTCCCCGCTGAGCAGAGAGCCTGATGCGGGGCTTGATCCCAGGACTCACGGAGCCACCTGGGCACCCCGAGTTTTCAGATTCTTGATGAACTTTTTGCTACCAAGGAGTAGGTTTTAAGCCCCGACATGTCTGTGCAAGAGCCTGCTGTTACAAAGAGCAGGTGGGTGTGCAGGGCTGCTGCTCTAGTCTTGTGTGTGTCAAACAGCATAAAACACGGCAGGCTCTCAAAGGAGAAAGGCTGCAAAAAAAAAAAAAAAAAAAAAAAATCTCTAAAAATTGTCCTTTAGGTGAAAATCAGAGCGAGAATCCTACATTTTTCTCCTGAAAAATTTGGAGATCTGGACTTAGGAATGCTTTGCTTTCCTTTAGGAACTTTGAAATTCTTTCCTGCCTCCCTTGGCTCTGTGCCCTTCTCCAGATCTCAGGGGGCCTTCCTGTTCGAAGGGCTCTCTTGTCCTTTCGTGTGAAGGCCCTGCTGTTGACTCTCGTGTTCCTGCAGGGCAGACTGCACAGTTACTAGGAGTATGGTCCTTCTAGTGCAGGAGGCCTGGTTTGGAATTCTAGCTCTGCTGCTTACCGGGTTTGCGATTATGGATAAATTATTTAGTATCGCTGAGAGTCAGTTTCCCATTACATCTTTGGGGTAAGAACTGATGTTACAGAGTTATTACAGGGAGTAATTGTGTGTATGTGAAACTCGTAGATTGTTTATATAAACCTAGAAAGACCAGTTTTGGTCTTTGTTGGTAAATCTGATCACAAATATATAATCTTAGTCCATGGAGCAGATTATGTCCCGTGCTGATCAATTTAGTAATATTTTTTACCCGTAGAAATGCAGCTACCTTTCTGGGGGAGTCATGGAAATTCCCTGGCTTGTTAATAAGTTCCACCGTTCATGTGGGCGAGTAGTGTACAGTGCCTGCCTCATCCTTGAAGTTGCAGTCATAGTTTTAATCAGCTCTGTGAAGGATTATCAAGTCTTTTCATGTTGATATTTAAAAAAAAATTGAGTGTGGGTTGGACATATTAAAATGTCTAGGGACGCCTGGGTGGCTCAGTTGGTTAAGCCGCTGCCTTCGGCTCAGGTCATGATCCCAGCGTCCTGGGATCGAGTCCCGCATCGGGCTCCTTGCTCAGCAGGGAGCCTGCTTCTCCCTCTGCCTCTGCCTGCCATTCTGTCTGCCTGTGCTTGCTCTCTCTCCCTTTCTCTCTCTCTGACAAATAAATAAAATCTTTAAAAAAAAAATAAATAAAATAAAATAAAATAAAATGTCTAATAATATTTTGGCTGTTTCAGATTCAAGAGTCCTTCTGAATTCTCATTTATTCAGCAATCACTGATGATGCTAATTTGTTTGTTTAGGTATGATAATCATAGAGAGGCTCTCCTTAAAGGTGGGCTTGATGGGGAATATCAGGACGACAGCTTAGATTTGCTTCACTACTTCACTGTGACCTGTTACTCTGGTTATGGAGATGATGAGAAGGTAAAGGAACTCACTCTTAATTTCCTGTCAAGCACGAGACTTTATCAAACACAAAGAGAAATCATGTTATTATAGGTGAAAGCAGTGTTCATTTTGAAAACTGAAAAAATACTGCCTTTGTATTTAAACTGTCGGCATAAGAAAACTGCAGTTTTCAGAAACCTGCATGTTCTGTCATGACAGAGCTTGGGCCTGTAATTCTTTAACATTAAAGTTTTTTCATGTACGTTTTAAAATTGTATTCTGTGATCGGAGTATAAAAGTATTAAGAATTTGTTTTCCTGCTGCTGTTTTTTAGGGCTTTTATACAGTTTATCGTAATGTTTTTGAGATGATTGCGAAGGAGGAGCTAGAATCTGTGTTAGAAGAGGAGATGGAGGATTTCCCCACTTTTGGAGACTCCCAGAGCGACTATGATACGGTAAAAGAAAATTGCATTGCCATTTTATAATTAGTATTTACCAGTGTGTTTTCTCCCCATTTCCTTATTTGAGAAGAGTGGACCCTGGTTCTTGGTCCCACACTGTAACTAACTCTGCCCCTGTCTCCCTTCCTGGAGGGGCTTGTGGCGCCCTTGGAGTGTCCTCCTTTACGTTTCCTGTTTATTGAGCAGGTCCCATCCCATTCAGCACCTCACTCAGTTTGTTCTCAAGGGCGATTTATTCTGTAAAGCCCTGAAGGACTGTCTTTTCCATTGAGTAGTAGTTGTGTGTTGTGTGTGAAAAAAGAGATGTGTTGCGTCACTGATAATTTGCTGCCTTGCTGGAGAAAAAGAATCTTAAACCTCAGCATGTTACTTGTTTTCTTGGTCTCTAGGTCGTCCATCCTTTCTATGCCTATTGGCAGAGTTTCTGCACTCAGAAGAACTTTGCATGGAAGGAAGAATATGATACGCGACAAGCTTCAAACCGCTGGGAGAAACGAGCCATGGAAAAAGAAAACAAAAAGATTCGCGACAAAGCGAGGAAGGAGAAGAACGAGCTGGTGCGCCAGCTGGTCGCGTTCATCCGCAAGAGAGACAGGAGAGTGCAGGCGCACCGGAAGCTCGTGGAGGAGCAGAACGCTGAGAAGGCCAGGAAGGCGGAGGAGATGAGGCGGCAGCAGAAGCTGAAGCAGGCCAAGTACGGGAGGCGCGGCCGGGCCCCTGGCTCTGAAGAGGTGTGGGGTCCTGGGACCGGGCCTTGTGGGGGGGCACCCCCCGTGTCCTGGCTTCATCAGCCACCCTTGCGCTGCATGTTTGCCTTCATAGGCCCTCAATACTTGAGATCCTTTCCAGACTCTTCTGAGACATAATAATAATGACTGCCCATTGATCTCCTCCTCTGGATGAAGCCTGGTTCCAAGCACTTTTATTCTAGCAGTTCTGCGAAGTAAGTTCTGGCTTTTCTCCTCATCCTTTTGAGGAAGCCAGGCAGGCCCGAGATCCCAGAGCTGGGAAGTGGCAGAGGTCGGCTTCGGCCCGAGACGCCGTGCAGTGCGCCCACTGTGCCCCGCCTTGCGGTCCCGCCTCTTTGATGGCACACTCTAGGGCTTTGGTTCATTTTTATGCCTTTAAAGCTTTGTCACTCGAAGTTAGTGTAAAAGCATTGTGTCCAGAGCACTGTAGCATTCTTTTAAAGATGATTCACTTCTTCTAAATTCTACTCACCCCACCCTTCATTTTTGGAAAATTAGCACTCTACTTGCCACTTAGGACTTAAAAACATCTCAAGACTTTTTAATAACTTGCTAGGAGGTCTAGATTTCAAAACCTGTTGCCTAATAGGGGGGTTAAAACCACCCACATAACAGATAAGCCACTTGCGCCCACTTGAACTCAGCCCTGACAGTGCAGGGGGAGCAGCTCTCCAGGGCATGGGCTGGAGGCCTGCAGGGTAAGCAGGACCAGCGTCAGTGGGGCTGTGCTGTGTGTCTAGACTGGCCGAGCAGTACAAAGAACAGAGCTGGATGACCGTGGCCGACCTGGAGAAGGAGCTCAAGGAGATGGAGGCGCGCTACGAGAAGGAGTTTGGAGATGGATCAGATGAAGATGAGATGGAGGAATCTGATCTCAAAGATGGGCATGATGGTAACTACCTTCACTGGGAAACTTGAGAAAGGGAATGCTGTGCTCAGATGTCATGCACTCAGGATGCTTGCAGGTGGCAGGCAGGGGTGGCGCGGCGGGGCAGGGACGTGGCTGCATCCTGGGGACTCCTGCGCTCCCTCGCTCCCTCCACTGCTGCCAGCACCGTGTTGCCAGGGTGTTCCTGTCCGTTTGCCTTCTAAGCAGAGCTGGAAATCTGGATTTTTATGGGACGTCTTCCGGTTTTGAAATGTGGCAGACAATTAAAATGAAAAATAATATTGTATAGGCCAAGCAAAGGTAGTCCATTGATGTTGACTAAACCCTAGATGATCAGAATAAGAAATAAGAGTTTATTTGATTAATAACCTCTTTTCTGAGCGTGCTTTAAACAGTCTGGGCTTCTGGCTGCATAAATAAGTTGGCCGCTGGGTATATTGACTGCTGGTTACTTAAAAACCTGTGATGAAGCCCGGGAGGTCAAGTTTTTATAGCTCTTTCCAGAAAAGCCGATATTGTACAGGAGTCTGTGTGGTGGATGTAAATTCTTCCTCTCATTTCTGAGAGTTTTCTCCCACTGTGCTGGGCAGTGTCCTTTCTGTGCGTCTCTTGTGAGAGCACAAGGCCTGTGACTACCTGAATACGTGAGGAGTAGGCATTGTGGAGAATAACCTGACCTTTCACGTAGTCTCTAGCTGTTGCGTGAGGAATAATGTGGAAGGATCAGTTCACCTTATCTATAAATGTGTTGTTGTAGACTAGTTGGCGAATGATAGAATGGTGGACTTTTATTTACTCAAAATGATTATGAAATGAAATTTTTAGAAAGTAGTATGTGTGAAAGTCTTGAAAATTATAATGTATTCTGGAAACGTGAGGTGGCATAATTAGAGTTTTATGTAAAATTGATGAAGTGCTTTCACATTCAGGAAAGAGCTTGCTTGACCCTCACACAATACCCCGTAAATTTGTATTTTGCTCATAGAATGAATTTCCTTTTACTGAAGAGGAAAATATGACTCTGAGAAGCTTTGGCATATCGACCTGCCATAATACCATTTTTAGATCCAGATTTTGGTGCTCGCTTCGGCAGCACATATACTAAAATTAGATCCAGATTTTGACTTCAAAGCTAACATTTTTATTAACTATTTGATGAATTGTTTATATATAATAAAAGGGTATAGGTAATTGCACACTAATACCATTTATTAAACATTAATACTAGGTAGAATGAGTTTTGATCATTTGTGATTTCAGTGAGAAAGCGTCTTCCGAAATTATGTTAACATCACAAAGAACGAAAATGTAGACTGTAGAAGAGATACCTTGGGATCCTTATTGATCTCATTGCATGATCCCTTTTACTGATCTCTGTGGCAGTCAGTTTACCTGTTTATTTCTTAAGAAGACAGATGGGATTTTACAAGGACTTTCAGTTCAGCATTTTAGTTGCTTAGATTTTGTGGACTATATTGATAGTAATTATTTCATTGTAACAAAGTCCCAAGCTTATTAAAAAAACAAGGGTATAAAGACATGTTAAAGTTTATATATAATAGGCTCTTTTATGACCACCCTGTCAAATAATGATGGAGTGTTTCAGGCTACGTTTATTTAAGCATTTAAGAGTAGATTACAGTTACAAATATGTTTGCATTGAATCTTGCTCAAGGGGTCAGCTGAAAAATTTGTTGAAAAAACTGCTTTGTGGTAGAACTGTGAAAGTGGCATCTGATTTTCTGGACTTAGCTCACACTGAGAACTTTGAGAGACTTTGAGTCTTCTCAGTAGACTTAGGAGAAGAACTGGAAAGATAAAGTGGTGATTTGGAAGCCTACCTTTATAATTCAGGACTGCTTTTGAAAGGTCAGCACAAACCCTGGTAACCTTATTTGGTTTTTGTAAGGAAATACAGTTTCTACCTTGTGTGCGAAATTCGTTTGTTACTAATGACATGCAATTTGCTAACACATTTCAGATTTGTGTTCTTACTGTCGGCTTCCTTCTCGTAGGTAGAGACAGTGATGAAGCTGAGGATGCTGAGCTGTATGACGGCCTTTACTGCCCAGCGTGTGACAAATCTTTCAAGACAGAAAAGGCGTAAGTTTGAACTCCCCTTTTCTTTGGAGGTGAACCAGAACACGGAAAGTGCTCCTAGCAGGGGGTCACCAGCCCTCCTCTGTGTTCTCTTGGGGGATTTCTTTCCCCCAGAGGAGGACGTAGGATTTGTGCCAGTGGTTAAGCACACTGCACTCATTCTCGTTCACAGCAGCAGTCCTACGTGAGAGCTGCCGCTTAAAACATGGACGCGTCTCCATGTCACTGCTTGTTGCGACGAAGGCACAGTCACAGACGAGGAGGCTAGACCAAAGCTAGTCTCTGTTGTTGGTGGCAGACTCCCTTCCAGCTGTCACACTCCCATGCAGGCCAGTGTCCCGTTTCAGCCTAGGAACTTTAAATGTGTCCTGCCTGAATTACATTTGCTGAAGCAGAGGAACTTTGCCTTTTGGAAACAAGGAAGAGAGAAGTATTTAAGTATTTACAAAGAGAGGAGAAAGAACAGGACAGAAAACAAAAGTGGACTCAGCAAGGGACAAAGAAACAAAACACATGCAGGGAAGGAGAGGGGAGACCGGAGGGTGCAAGTGGGGGTGTGGGAGGCATGAAAGGCGTTGGTGTGGAACCCCGAGGGGAAAAACTGTTGAGCAGTAAGAGAAGTGGCAAGGGCAGAAGAGTTAGAAACGGGAAAACAAAAGCAACAGTGAAGGAGATTTAAAATTGATTTTTTTATTTAAAAATAATGTCAGACTTACAGTGAAGTTGCAAGGATAGAATAAAGCACCCGATTCACCTGTGGCTGATGTTTTGCCCTATTTGTGTTCACCCCTTCTCCCTCCCCCCACCTCCCCTGTTCCACAGAGTTTTTCCCTGAATAATTTGAGAGTAGGTTACATACATAATGCTTGTCTACATCTAAATTACTTCTGTATATAGTCCTAAAGAAGAAAGCCATTCTGTTAGATGATCGCAGGACAGCTGTCAGCTTCAGGAGGCTTATAACCTGGCTGTGGTCCTTTCATCTCCTCTACCGCCTATATTCCACGTCCGTCAGCACATCCTCTTGGCATCCTGTGTCTCCACTCCGGGCAGGATCCGGTCTAGAATCAGAGGACGCGTTCATTTATTTGGTCTTGTTTAATCTGGATCAGTTCCCTTGTCTGTGCCGTTGTTACTCCAGAGTACGGGCCCTTCAGAATGTTTTTTTTCCTGGAGTACTTGTCATCTTGAGTGTCGGTCTCCTCATGATTGGATTCTGTGTCTGGCTGGCTACCATGTCAACATGCAGTGCTGCTCTCAGGCCTTCAGTTCTGGAAGCATACGATGTCTGTCTGCCCTTCCTTGGTGGTGAGAGTTTTGATCACCCAGCCAGGACGTCTTCTAATTTTTCCACTGTAGAGTTAGTATTTTTTTCCATTGCAACAGATTTTACTTTATAGCCCATTTAATCTGTGGGGAGACACTTTCAGGTTAGACAAGTGCCCTGCTCCTCATCAGTGTCCTAGATTTGGCATTCATTGATGATTTTAGCTTATCCCACTTGTCACATAATGGTTCCAAAGCGGGGCTTTTCTGGAACCAGTGCTCCTTCTCCATTATTAGTCCTCAGTAGGCCTTCTGCCATCAGTAAGAGCCCTGCCTCTCCTCTGTCTAGCTATTACCAGTATGAATTTGTGAAGTTTTTCAGTGTTCTATGATTTCTTACTGTACTTTTCATGCTCAAACTTTTCCAGATATGATTAGTGAGAGTTCTTTCAAGGTGGCTCCTGTGTCCTTTTGACAAGTCCCAGTCATTTTTTTTGAGCACTTATTTTCTGGCACACCACGTTCCTGTTTCTCTAAGAAACCATGGTATGAAGGAGAATTTTAGTGGGAGGGAAAAGTAGCAACTGAAGCTAGAAAACCCAAGTCTGAACAGATGAGATAAAGTTGATAGTATGGATGTAAGTTTCCTACTTTCTTGTTCATCTACTGACTCTGGTACTTCTGTCTTGTCAACACTATTTTGTGGAATGTTACTTCATGGCCCACAGATGCCTTGAAAGAGGCATGGCTCGGAGAGTTTTAGGCAGAGGGGTGTAGATGTGTCTGAACTCACATTTAGGATGGTGGCAGTGAGAAGGGAGAGCCCTGTTAAGAAGGCGAAAGACAGTTATTGAAAAAAGCAAAAGGGGGTAAACTACTGTGGTACCTGAGGCCCTCACGTCATAAACCAAGTGGTCTTCAAGTTGGAATGCTGTCTTATAAATTCTCGGGATCTTCCAGAGCCCACAGTGCAGCCTGGAACATGCATGCATTGGGCTAATACTCAGTGATTAAGAGGAAACAGTGGAGAAGACTTGAATTTTAAGATAATAGAGAATTTGACAAAAAAAAAAAAAAAAAAAAAGGTTGGAAACAAATATGTAGATAAAAGGACGGAGGGAAGGGAGGATGCTGGGTTGGAGGGAAGAAGAGCTCAGGCGTGGGCTGGCTGTGTCCTCCCGCCTGAGAGGTCCTGACGGGTTCTTCTGCTTCTCTTTGTAGGATCCCCAACATTTTGCTTCCTTACTGGGAAAAATAAATTTTACCATGGTTGCATTTATTCAGCCACACACTTGGGCACATGTGAATCCTGTTGTGGTTACTAATGTCCGATTGTTCTTCCAGCATGAGGAATCATGAAAAATCAAAAAAGCATCGGGAAATGGTTGCCTTGTTAAAACAACAGCTGGAGGAGGAGGAAGAAAATTTTTCAGGACCTCAAACTGATGAAAATCCATTGAATGCCAATTCTGAGGAAGAAATAGAAGATGCACCAAAACAAAAGTACTTCTAAAAATGCTTCTAGACTTACTTAACACATTAGAGATGAGATTGCATTTAAATGCTGTTTTATCTAAGAAGTTATTCTGTTATGCTAATATTTTCCACATTTTCTTCTACATAAGGGAATTTACAATATTGAAACGGGTAAAAACATGATGTAGAGTATAATTTTACAGAATATGTTATGATTGTTTTAAAAGCAGTTTTATACCAAGGGAATTGATATGCTAATTACCATCGATGGAACCACTGTTCTGATTTTCTAACAATAATGTGAATATTTTCTTTTTAAGACCTTATGCTATTAACTACTTTTAAAATTTTACTTCTCTCTGTATCAGTAGTGTTTTAGTATTTTTTTTTCACTTAGTAAGTAGTCACAGTTAAATATTTGATATTTTTATTTATATTTATTCTCAGGCTTTCTAAAAAACAGAAAAAAAAGAAACAGAAACCAGCACAGGTATGTTGAAAAAGTTTTATTAACATTTAATATCAAACATAAAGTTGGACTGCTTTTGTTGTTTTAGTATAGTTCATATTAAAGAGAGGGATTTTCACTCTATATTTTAAGTTGATTATAAAACAGATTGAAGGAAGTTGAAAACAATTTTCTTTTTTCATCACTTTGCTCCATTAATATGTATGTGGCTAATTTACTTAATTACTATTGTCGGTGTGTCTTCAAATATTGCAAGTGGAATTAATTCCCTGATACTAATTAACTGGGTGATCATATTAAAAATCTGGACACATATGATGACTGGGTTTTTAAATCTCTAAGACAAGAGTTAAAATCAGAAATATGTGAAAATCTGAGGGTTGATTATTGTATATCTAGGGTTTTTTTGCCAACAACATAAATGAAATTTTGCAAAAGGAACATTTGATTAGAAATGTGTAATGCTTATGATTCTTGAAAAAAATGTTTCTTAATATTACTCAGAAATGTAAGTTGTTTAAATATATCACACTGGCATCTAAATCCAATCTCTTTTAAGAATATTTTTAAATTGGGGCACTTGGATGGCTCAGTGGGTAAGCCTCTGCCTTCAGCTCAGGTTATAATCTCGGTCCTGGGATGGAGCCCCCACATTGGGCTCTCTGCTCAGTAGGGAGCCTGCTTCCCTCTCTCTCTCTCTTTCTGCCTACTTGTGATCTCTCTGTCAAATAAATAAAATCTTTACAAAAAAAGAATATTTTTAAATAAAAAGTTATTTTGTTGTTACAGATGCGTAACAATCCTATAGATGTATAAACACACGAGCTTCTCCGTTTTACTAAGGATATTTGGTGGTTCTAAAGGAAGTGGAATTGATTTCTGTGCTACTTTAATATAATCTAATTACATTAGCTTATATTAAATATTAAATGTTACAGTTCTTTTTGAAAACTGAAAATATTTTTTAAGAAAATTTAGTTAACACATTATTGATTTTTCATAAAACTTTAGATTTGGCTTATCTATTTAAACGGTTATATATTTGAAAGTAGTTTTTATCTGTCTCATGTTCCAAAAATGATACACGACACATGAATTTATCACTGTTAAAATTTGTGACTTGGAACTTTTGCTTCAATTATAAAACCACATAGCAAGTTCTGTGTTCCTTTATAAAATGACTCATACTGTCTTCTACCCAAAGACTCTATAATCATTAGCTTAGAACATTTCCTCTCTTGTTTGTGTGTGCTGGAACCACTAGAATAAACACAAGATAAGAGAGATTTATACCTAACCCAAGCCTATCCTGAGTAAGGAAGCGTACCTCTTACAGGTTGCAGTAAAAATTTGTGTTTTCTTACCAATGAAAATGCTTCATTTACTACCCCATTTTTTCCCTCCAAAGCTGTATTCCTTTATAGTAATACCTCTTGTTGATGATTTCCTATTCTGTCAGGAAGAAAATCCCATTTCAGATCTAGTTTTATGTAGCACTTTTCCTGACGTTTCCTCAGTTCTTTTTGAAAGGAGGGTAGTGTGAGACGTGAACCAGTTGACTGAAGAGCAGCAGGCAGCAAACACAGAGAATCAGGAAACTTCAGACTGGGAGAGTTTTCTGTATGGGCAGGAAAAAAAATTTGCATGACCTAATAAGAAAGGAAACCCAGAAAACTGCAATTGAATGTAAACAGAGGACCCTGGCTGACAGAAAGGAGGAGTCCGAGTCACTTTTGAGCGCAGTATTCTGAACACCCTCCATGAGAAACATTCCAAAGACAAAATTACTTGCAAAAAAATAAATCTTGTACTTAGTAGATATTTTGGTCTAATTGTACCATAAGTGTAGCCTGAATCTAATCATAAGGAGACAACCAGAGGAAGCCAAACTGTGGGACAGAATAGCCCGCATACTGTCAAAATCATGAAAGACAAAAAGTAGGGCTGTGGTGGTTCTAGGACAAAGGAGATTCAATGGGCATGACCAGGACACACAGCATGGGGTCCTTGATTTGTCACACCTCTCAGGGCCCCCAAGGAGAGGTTGTTACTGGGTTGTGAATATGGATTATGGAGCCGACACTTTAAATTCTTGAGTACAAGGGCATTGTGGGGATGTAGGAGCAAGAGTCGTGATATCTGCCTGCAATTTATTTTATCCTTCCGGGCTTGGGGGTGGGGTGTGTGTGCAGAGAAGAGGGAGGAAGGGAAGGGAAAGCAAATGTGACAAAATGTTGCCCCAACCCAAACCAACAAAAATAAACACTCTTCACATAGTGAAGGTATGTTGGCCAAGCTTTGCCTTTTTCGTAATGCTTATTTACTCTTTTTTTTTTTTTCCCTAACTATAAAAGTAGTAGGTACTCATTGCAGATCAGTTGGAAAATATGGAGAACTATAAATATCACCCCTCATTCTGCCTATAGATACTACTTAGTATTGAATTAGATTGTAATCAGACATTATGTGTAATTTTCTTTTATATTTTAGCTAATAATTTGTAGGTGTTGTTCCACCGAATTGAATCAGTGTCTTTGCAAACATGATTTTTAAGAGCTTCGTAATTTCCTTCATAATCCAACCATTCACTTATCGAACATATAGATTGTTTCCACTTTTTTCCTACTTTAATGTTTCTGTAGTGAGCATTTGTGTTTTTAAATTATTATTTGCTTTTTCTTTTTACTTCCTGAAGATCTCCTCATTCAGAGCGTACCCAACATTGTAATTGTTTAGTATAATTACTTGGTATCCTAAGAAGCTGGGGTTGTTACTATAATTATTTTGTAATGCATACATGTTTTATTATCTAGGAGTATGATAATAATTTCAATGAAAATGGAACTGGAGAAGAAGTAAAGGTTGAATCAGAAGATACCAACTTAAATCAAGACCGTGCCAAAGAATTAGATGGGAGACCCCAAGAAAGTATCAGTGTCACTGAGACTGTCGAACTCTGTGATGATCCAAAAAGTGAAGCTAAGAAGTAAGTCAGGTTGATGGTGCTTTCTAATTACTGTTGGTGGGAAGAATATCTTTTCGGATCTCAAATAACATCTTTCCCACGGTTGATGAAGCAGAGCAGGTCTGTCGGTGACCTGTACATTTATCCAGACAGACGTCCCACCGTAATACAGATAAGGCATGTTGGGAAGAGGATGCCGGAGGAAGGTGCTAATGGACATTTCAGCAACATGGCCCAAATCAAAAAGTCATTTTGACCCAGTTTCTATCCTGTTGAGGTCCTTATTTTATCCTTGATCAGTAATCTTTGAACAAGGAATCCAAGAACAAGTCTCCTGATGAGGCCGCACCCCACTTGCCTGGAGCGTCTGGGACCATGTGTCCATGCTCAGGGCTGTCCTCCTATGTTGGGCCCCACGCTGCAGGTCACCAAGATCTGCATCCACAGCCCGGAGCCTTCCTGCTGGCAGGAGCCTGGAATGTGGTGCCCCATAGGGCCACAGTGGCTGGCCAGAGGAAGGTCTCTTTTAGCGGAGAGAGCATTCCTGATCCTCTCCTTCCTGCCATGCCTTACTGTCTTGTCTCTGGCCTCCTCTGCTCCTCTAGAGCAGAGAGTAATTTCTTATTCCTTGAGGGAAAATCTGAACAGTGAGTAGCCTCCCTGTCTAGGACCACGAGAAGGAGTTCAAACAACGGAGTCAAGTGTGTGTCTGCGTTGCCAGCATTTAGCATTGGAGCAGGGACAAAGGGGTAGGACAGCGCCCTTAGGGGTTTAGGAGCTGAGGGAAACACCATGATGGAGACCTAGGGTATGCCTGTAGCTCTGGGGAAGGAGGGCAAGGACATGTGCAATCCTGTAAGGTGTTGTAGCTTGTGTTTCAACAGTTTTAAGTAAATGCCTTAGCTTTTGTGTCACATTTAACATCTACTGTGGTCTTTAAAGTTGCTCTGGAAAGCTGTTCATTTGAGATGTGAAAATTAATTAGATTGGCCATTAAAATTAATGAATTAGCCTTTCACTTGAGTCTTTTTGGGAGCAAAATAACAATTAAAAGGGATACATTATTACTGGATTGTAAGAACTCTATAATTTATTTTCCAGTGCTCCTAAACCCAAAGGGAAGAAAGCCAAAGACATGAAAAAATCTGTCAAAGTACCTGCTGAACCGCAGACAGTGGTAGGTCAAAATCATATTGACATTTTTCAGTGGACCTAGTTTCAGCAATATCATCTAAATTCTTAATTCTGATTCTAAAGCCATCTTTGGTGAGCCCTTGTGTACCTACTGTATAGGTTTGGATCTGTCAACAGTTTTTCTTGATGAATGTAGAATTTATATCCGTGCTGCTATCCCTGTTGTTCTTTAAAGTAAAAGGCACAGTGGGAATACCAGATCCAACAGAACAGCTACTGCTCTGTTTTCCGTTACTTTGCAAACTGAAACGGCGTTCTCGTCCACACGGTGCATACCGTGGAGTGGCTCAGGACTCTTAACATTGATGCTTTTGGTTGATGGGACTTAACTTCTCACTCTTTTGAGCCTGAGTGGCGGTAATTTTGTTAAAAGGTTTTATTTTGAATTATTTGATACTAAATCTCAACATGAAAACCTAAATTATTGCTCTCAGGGAATAACATTTGCTCTTACTGATATATATATATATATATTTTTTCCCCTCTTCAGAGTGATGTTCTTATCAGCTGTGCAACCTGCCATAGTGAATTTCCATCCCGGAATAAACTTTTTGACCATCTGAAAGCCACAGGTCATGCAAGAGCACCTGCATCGTGTACTTTAAACAGTGTAACAAGTAGTCGAAGCAAGAAAGAGAAACGTAAAAACAGATAGAAATCCTGCCAACGTTTTTTTTCTTTTTGATTGTCTCTAGATTTTGAAACCAATAACTGAACTGAAGTCATCTAAAGAGTTAAAATTTCGGTGATCTGCAATTTATTGCATTGTGGAAGATTATTTTTTATCTTGTAAAAACATTTTTTTGTTTAATATATATTTTTTAAACATTTCATTAGTGATTGAATTCTACTTTGCCATCTGGATTGACTTGAATGTTTCAAAACAGGTACATATTGTAAAGTATGCGTTTTTGACTTCTGTTGGCTCACATGGACAGAAATGTACAGGGAGAATTAAATTATTTTAACACATACAAATACTCCTTTGTGTTTTATTTTGGGGATTTCACATAGTATTTTTATATGATTCAGTGCTTTTGTATTCTGTTAACGTTTCATGATCTGTCAAAGACTCAGTTTTAAAATCATCATAGTTTTTTTTCTTACCTGATACCATGACTCCAGTTCTGCTTTTAAAATTATTTCTAAATAACCTATTTTTGATTACTGTATTTTTTTTTTCCTCAAGGACAGGGGTAGGTAGAAATGAATTGAATATATATGGTTATGTTTCAAGACTTGTATCTCAAGGTATAACCATGGTGATTTGAGATTTTATAGGTAATTCTCAATAAGATATATCTTTTGGTGTTTTGCCCTGATTTAAATTGTGGAGGTGGAAGCAAATCACTGTGTGGCACTTCCTCCTTGGCACGGTGACGGCCGTGAAGCATGACAGAACCAGGGGCGGGTGGTGCAGAATTTGTACTGACTCTTTAACAAAGGATATTCTGCCTTGGGCTTTTTTCCTTCACTATTTTCAGAAGTTTTTACTTTTGTTTTTTTCATCATTTAATGGAAAACAACTTTTTGAATAAAAGTTTTTTCATAGGGCTGGTATTTATGCCATCCATTCTGTAGCAAAGATGAATATTAACTCGAAAAACAGAGAACAGTCAAAAGTGAGTGTGGTCACGTATGTGGATCAGTGATGAGTCGGTTTTTAGGGTGAGGCTGCATTAAATAGGCAATTCTTACACTTGGTCTTGAGATAATTTTGAACTCAGTGGTTTTAAATACATACTCCGTGTTTAGTGCAGCTCCTGCCTTATATCCTTGAATCTTCAGTTAGTTATGGGCTCTAATACTTGAGTCTCTTGGCAAAGACTTTTCTGAATGCCTTATGGATAGTACTGAGAGTGGGGATCACGCTGTGTGATTGACTTGAAAATACGCATTTGTATTTTAATTTTTTCTTCATTTAGAGATGTTAATAGATTTTTTAAAAGATTTTATTTTTTGAGAGAGAGACAGAGCACAAGTGGGGGGAGGGGCAGAGGGAGAAGCAGGCTCCCCACTGCGCATGGAACCCGATACAGGGCTCGATCCCAGGACACCCATTCATGACCTTAGCCAAAGGCAGACGCTTAACCAACTGAGCCACACAGGCGCCCCATAAGTTTTCTTTATCGTCTTTCTTTCTGTTTCTCTACCCTCTTTCGCTAATTCCTCCTAATTGTCCTGCACTACCCTCTTCCCCCACCTTGTCCCTTTCTTGTCCCTTCAGGGGAAATAGAGCCAGTTCTTTGGGCTCTTCCTCCCAGGCTTGGTCTGAAAAGTTGCCACCCTCTGCTAGTTAGCACTAGGTGAATTGGCTGTAGTAAGAATAGGAGTACTGGGGGCCCCTGGGTGGCTCAGTGGGTTAAGCCTCTGCCTTCGGCTTAGGTCATGATCTCAGGGTCCTGCGATCAAGCCCTCCATCAGGCTCTCTGCTCAGCGGGGAGCCTGCTTCCCCCATCTCTCTGCCTGCCTCTCTGCCTACTTGTGATCTCTCTCTCTCTCTGTCAAATAAATAAATAAAATCTTAAAAAAAATAGTACTTATCAACAAGAGGGCATACTGATCACATATTATTGTACAGAAGAATTATGAAGTCCTCTGGACAGGCAGAGAATGTCCTTGCTTTCCCTTGTACCCACCAGATAGGTGTTTGGTTTCTGCTTCGTGTGCAGATTGATTGGGGTTACCGGTCGCTTTTATTCTGATTCACAAAACTCAACCATATTTTGAAAGGATCTTCATCAGTTGTGACTAAAAGCTAGATCTCATTTGTAGTCCTGTGCATATATAATGCCAACAAATCATTTAACTTCTCTGAATTTCTTTCTCCTTATTTCTAACACAGTTCTCAGCATCGTATTGTTTCTGTTTATCGCACAGGATTATCACGAAGGGCAGATAAAATAGCAGTATTAATCTCTGTACCCATCATGGGGCTCGTACTCATGACCCCAAGATCAAGAGCCGTGTGATCTGAGCCAGCCAGGCGCCCTGGGCAAAATAGTATTACGAAAGTGTTTTTTAACTATGAAAGCTTTATACAAAATGTTGTATTTAAAAGAGTTGAATCTTTTTCAGTTAAGATACTTGCAGACTGAAGTGTACATGTTGAATTAAACGTGTATTAAGTTTTTATAGGAATGTCCTTCCTCATCCACTTCTGAAGAAGAAACAGAAACGTATTATGCTGGAGGTAAAATGTTTTTGGTGAATCACAGACATTCGATTTCATTTGTCTAAAGCAAAACAGAATAGTCTAAAATATGTGAGCACGTTTTACACTGACATCATTCAGGGTCAGTTGTGAGCGCCATCCGGACTGAAGGAAGCCGAGCTGTGGAAGATGCAGGGAAGGTGGGCTCTGCCAGGAGAGGCTGAGGGGAAATCCAGTCTTCTCTCTGCACTGTGTTCAGTGGTGCCAGAGCTAGGCTTCCCTAGAAAGCCCGGTGAGACTTGGGTTTCAAAATAGGAGCAGTATCATTAGCAGAAGTACACTAGAGAACAGGTCTGCGTCAAAATTAAAGCTTTTGTAGGACAACAGGCACCCTAAGTAGAAAGCTTCAGCCTGGGAGAAATGGTTTGCAATATTTATATAATGGACAGGATTAGCATCCAGAAGACTTGAAGAAGTACCTCCTACAAATCAAGGAGCAAATGACAGACATGCATTAGTAGAGCAGTTCTCAAACTTTTTGGTCACAAGACCCCTTCACACTCTCAAAAACTGAGAACTCCAGACAGTATTTGTGGGTGGGGCTTCTATTTATTGATATTTACTCTTAGAAATCAAAATGGATTTAGGAGTATTTATTAAAAAAGAATACATAATTAAGTAACAAATACGAAAAATAACTTTTGAAATGAAAGTTTAATGAGAAGAGAGGTATTGTTTCACATTTTAAAAAATATTTATTAGAGAACACAAGTTGGGGGAGAGGGAGAGGGAGAAGCAGGCTCCCTGATGTGGGGCTCAATCCCAGGACCCTGGGACCATCACCTGAGTAAAAGCCAACTAACTGAGCCACCTAGGCAGCCCCATTGTTTCACGTTTTTGAAAACTTCTTTGTCTAGCTTAATGAAATTAAGGACTCTCATATCGGCTTCTGCGATCAGTCTGTTGTTCGTGTTTGGTTAAAGTATATGAAGAAAATGGAGCTTCATCTGGGTATGATACTGGAAAAGGAAGGACTTTGTGGGTCCTTCTGGGTCTCCCAGACCACAATCAGATTAACTACATTAGAAAAATGGGTAAAACATATCAGAAAAAGCTGGAATAGTTAAACAATGAAAAGATGATCATTGTTACTGATAACGAGGGAAATACGGCTAAATAATTGTTCTGTGCTTTCAGATTGGCAGAAGGCAAAATATCTCACAAGGTCAAGAAGGAATGTTGGTGAGGATGAAGAAGTGAGGACACACTCATTTCTTTTGGAGTAAAATCAATTGAATTTGATGATGTGTGTGAAAGTTGAAGATAAAGAGTATAGCCTCTGACCTCGGGCTCTGTAACCTGAGGCACAGGACTACAGTCTCGCTCCCCAGTGCCCGCACCGCCGCAGCCTGGCCTTCCCTTGGGAGCTTCCTCCTGAAGGCGGTGCTTAGGTCTCACCCTGGATTTGCCCAGTGAGAGTCTGCAGTTAAGATTTCTCAGGTGATTCATCTGCTCCTTAAAGCCTGAGAATCAGGACTGTCCAGAACGCCAGTACTTGTGTGCCAGCCTTATTACACGGATGCTCGCAGCTGAATTGTTTGTATCTAGGAAAAGTGGGAAACAGCCTAAATCCATGAACAAGAAAATGGAGCAATTTGCCAAGGACGTGGGCTCTGAACTCTGAGAGATCTCTGATGAAATTCCAGCGCCAGCATTAACTAGACAAACTTGGCCAGGTCATTCAAACTCTTCAAGCCTTTTCTTGGCAGACAATGGAGCAGTTAAAATGAGTGAACTTGATCTGTAGTATCAGTGGATAGCTGTTGTGGAAGGAAAAAAAACGATGAAAACAAGCTGTCAGAAGATGAAATATGCCATTTATGAGTTTTAAAAAGTACTGTTGTTATTGGTGAATTGAAAGCAGGGTAGCCTCACCGGGAAACATTGTTCTGAAAAGTAATGGCCTCCAGAAAGGGAGGGAGCGCAACGGAAGGGGGCTGTGCCGGCAGGAGCGGCCTCGTCGGAGTCCACTTGATTTTAAGGCCCGAAGGAAAAGGTTGGCATTTGTTTGTTCATTCTGGATGCTGGGTAGGGAGCGTTTGTTACTGGTTTTCATGAAATAAACATCCAGAGAAATACGGGTTAATGTTTCCCTTCTTCCCAGCAAGATGCATCCTTACAAAAGGGAATTTAAAGGGTTTAGGATGTACATCTGATCCCTGGTGTGTTCTTTAAGGACATGGTCGCAGAGGCCATCACTAGTGTTTCAGTCCCCTTCTGCCCTCAACTCTGATCTCTAGTTGGGCACAAAGCCACTTAGGATGTGATTACCTTCCAGGCCGCCATGGCAGTCTGGTGTCACTTCTGGCCAGTGACTTGAGCGACTTTTGGGAAATGTCCTTCAAGATGTGGACTGTCCTTATCCCTTCCTCTGGCCACTTAAGCGAAGAGGTGGTGGCTGGAACTCTGGCCCCGGTCTGGGACCCCATGTCCTCCCAGGGCTGAGCAGCAGGAGCACAGCATCTTCTGTTCCTGATACATCGGAGAAAACCCTGCAGGCCCTAGACCAGCTCCCTCTGCACCCCAGAGAACTCAGACTCCCACGTAACCAAAGCCTCCGTTCTATGCTCAGGGTCCCAGGTGGCTCAAGCCCTGACTGATTCAGGGTGTGCATGGTAACCTGAATGAGAGGTGTGGCTTCAGTAGTGCCAAGGACGTGGGCTCTGAACTCTGAGAGATCTCTGATGAAATTCCAGCGCCAGCATTAACTAGACAAACTTGGGCAGGTCATTCAAACTCTTCAAGCCTTTTCTTCTTCCTTAATCTGTAAAATAGGGGTGGCTGGGGGGTTCAGTTGGTTAAGTATCTGCCTTCAGCTCAGGTCACGATCCCAGGGTCCAGGGATCGAGCCCCACATTGGTCTCCCTGCTCAAGGGGGAGTCTGCTT